TGACGTCACACACGCGTGACGTGACGTGACCTCGTCATTTCTGAGTTACTGTATGATGCACGAAAGACACTGGTATATCTATGCAAAGTTTCATCGCAGTCGGTCTACGCATTAACAAGTTATGGGCAAAACATTTTTTCGCGTTGACCCCCGGCCATCCGTGAGGCCGTTTCCAACCATAGTGCGGCGAGGCAGTCTTGAGACATGAGCCGGTGAGCTTGATGAAACGGAGAGACATTGAGGCATGGGCGACGCCGTGACGCCTAGTGGAATGGTGAGACAGTCTGAGACATGGGTAGGGACGCTTGATGGAAAGGGGAGACAAGAAGACATTGGCGAGACAGTAGAAGACGTGAGAAGCGGTCAGGACATGAATGATACGAAAGGTAGAGAAAGGAGGCGGTGATATGAGTGACACCCGGTGTTTGCGGCGAGGCAACCTCGAGAGAGGGATAGAAATCTATGTAGTGGCACCGGTGGAGAGGGATGAAAGAAAAGGAAAAATATACGAAAACTCACAAAATACAGATGTTGGCCTAATCCCAGTCCCTATGCAGGTGTGTCCACTCAGTGACTCCGCAGCCAGGGAGGAAGACGGCGGTTGGGCAAAGGGCACCATGACGGCGGACGAGTCACTAAGACAGCTCATCAAAATACTTCGTCCGGAAAATCGCTCATAACCTGTTCCGTCGACCCGAACCAGCCCGCTGGCCGGAGCTGAGCAGGATGGGAGTGACGAGCCAACAGGTAGCACTCGGCCGGACCCGTCATGCCGCGTACTTCTACACGCTTCTGGTCACGTCAAAAGTACCAGAGAGAAGTGCGGGGTCAAATCCGGCTTCAGAAAGCAGCCGTGGCCGTCATTACGACAGTCGAGACACTCAAATTATACAGAGGTGGTTGCATTCACTTTCCCTTACCCTCTTTCAGCGATGATCTCAGGCATGAAAGCCGCATCATCTTGAATCGATCTACAAGTCACGATAATCGCCGGAGAGAACCAGGCGGCGTATCGTACATCACTCGGACGCGATCGGTGTACAAAGTCCACCTCCGCAGGGCGCCGATGGTACTATGCCCGACTCTGGCGTCCCTCCCGAGCGCCCATCCGTCCGTCCGACCCGCCGGGCGGGCGGGGATGGCGGTATCGGGGGCGGGGACGGGGGGCGGTGCCGGCAGTGTGCCGCTCTGTCGCCTGCCCGGCACTGATCCGACCGCCGAGCCAGACCGCCAAATTTCTCCCGGATGTTAGTCACGGCTTACGTGCGGCCCGTCCTGGGCCTCACGGGCCCGGTCGAACCCAAACAGCTGAGGGCCCGGAAGAGACGACAACGGTCGGCCGCAAACATTGCCACCTTCGGCTGACTTAGGTATGTACCGCCGAAGGAACAGGGCGGAGTCGTGACTGAATCGGTGGGGCCGTGACCAGACTGAACAAACGGGAGGAGCTGTTCACTATGTCCATTGAGTGTTCACCAAACCACGCTGGATATGGGTACAAAACGAGTAAACAAGAGAGCATGGAAACCGCACCCCCGGCCTCAGCACGCGATTCATCATAGGGCCTGCATTGCAAAACCAGTGCACTGGTTTTGCACTGCTCCACTGCACCACGGCTGAACCAGCATGATTGTGCGACATCCAGGGATGTAGTTGGTACGAGGGCATCCCACCTCTTCTTGTATCATGTTACAGTGGTCCTTTTCCCGCCCTCAGCTAACATTATTTGTCTTAGCGCGGCAAACCGTGTGTTAAAAATAAATCTAAAAATAAAGAAGCTCTTTTGAAGCAGGTGATCAAAGTTTGCATGCAGATTACGCCGACATTTCGCGAATGTGCATGCATTTTAACCTGTATCAGTCTTTTGATGTCCTGACACTTCATTAAAATCGTATCATGTGCGCAGATACGGTTTCCATGATCGCCAGTCACGGACAAGAAAATTTAAATGCGTGGAACAAGGAATCGATGCATTATTTTGTCCAACCCTCCTGTTGCCGGTCAATGGCTTTTGGAAATATATGATCAACTTCGCAGTTGTAGAATTATGCTTTTGGAATCCACCGTACGAACTAGCCTTGGGATTCACCGAATGATCCCGTACAGTAACACAAAGAAGTCAGGTACATAGAGCCCAGACCTAAACCCTGCATAGATCTGGGAAATCCACAACGACACACTTTACTCGATAAAGCTGGAAGTTCCATTGGGGAATCACCAAATCAAAGAACCATAGCCCATTGACTCAACAAAGCGTTCAATAGGCACTGAAAACAATACCGAGTGCATTGGAACAATGGGCAGTCAGACAGGGTGCGGAAACCACCCCGTGTGAACAATCCAGGAACCAACGCAGGCCAAGGCAGCCTTCCTGGCCCTCTCACGCTTCCTAAAATGACTTATTGCAACAGCCGATGCTTGCAAAAACGGACAACGCAGTAAAGCTTGCATCTAAGAACGACCATCACCAAGAGCGGATCATCAGTATTCACGACCAAACGTTCACAAAGCGCAAACATTATAAACGTGACGGTAATGCTAACATCATCCCTTCATCGTCCAACCTATTCGGCTCTCTCTCTCTCTCTCTCTCTCTCTCTCTCTCTCTCTCTCTCTCTCTCTCTCTCTCTCTCTCTCTCTCTCTCTCTCTCTCTCTCTCTCTCTCTCTCTCCCCTCGCTCCCTCTATCTTGCTCCCTCTTTCTCTGCTCAATGTTCTTTTATGTTCTGTCGTTCTCTCCTATTCTCTTCTACCCCCTCACCTCTTCTCTCGCTCCTCCCTGAGCCCCTCTATCCAACCGGGCTGCAGCCTCCACCTCCCCAGGCAGCGCCCTCACTCCGTGGCCGCCGCCTTTGACCCGGTGCCTTACTCCGCCCGCCCGCCCGCTCCAGCCGGGCTCCAGCCAGCCCACACCTTGGCACCGGCGCCTGGGCTCGGCTCGGCAGACGCCCGGCCAGGCTCGCCGCCCACTTCGCATGCATATTGCATCCGCGACAGCCTCCCCCGGGGGAGAAGAGCGACGGCAGTCGGCCGGTGGACGCAACACACGGACCGGGACGGCCGGGGGAGGAGCTCGGCACCTGCGACACTGAGCCTGACACGGGTGTGGGATTGTGCCCCAGCCGTGGAGTGTTTTGGAACATAAAGCAGCTGAGATTACATCAAAGAAGAATGTCTAACTAGCCTGAATCGTGGATCGTGGATGCAGCGCGGATCGATCCGAAACTAGGACAGTAAATAAACAACAGCGGGAAATATAAGTCAGCATTTAACCGACCCCGAACCAGACTCTGGAGGTGCAGTCTGGGAGAAATGATCCGCTATCAAAAACACTAACGCTCCGTTCAAGACGGCGCGGCACGTCGGTTGAATTGACGGCGCCGGCAGTCGTTCAGCGGACGATAAATAGTGCAGCAGTCGCCCTAACGAGCGTGCCGGCGTGGCTGATCAGAGCACTCCCGGAATTCAGCCATCGCAGATCGCTCACAGCCAGTCACGCGAGTAACGACGGCCGCTCGGCCGGGCGTGCGGCGCCCGGCGCGACGCGCTCCTGGCGCCGCCGGGACCGGCTGGGACTCTGGAGGGCTCCCCGGCCCACTTGGCTAGCGAACCAACCCGCTTAGACCCGTAACAACCGTCCCACTAACAGCTGAGACCCAGCGAAATGTGTTTTATACAGGAATACAAACTCTAGTGAATGGCTACTAAATGTTATAAAAAGATGATTATGTCTCAAAAATAAAAAGAAAGCTTCAAATTAGTCGCGCATTGCCAAGAAACACGAGATAAAGGAATAAAATCAAAGCCGAGAAAGAGCTTAAAAATGCAATGTCATGATTCAACAGAAAGAGCACTCAAACAAAGCACACGGTCCATGATTACGGAAAAAAGCATCGCAATATATTGATTTTTGCTCTACAAAGCTGCTCTCCATTCTCCTTTGGTCATTCCTCATCATCAAGAATGAAGAGACACATCACCGACGACCTGGGAATCTCTAAACACTCTCCAAGTCCCTCCCCACCTTCTCTCATCTTTCTCTCCATTTCCCTCCCATCCCTCACCCCCCCCCCCCCGACTCGGGGAGTCCGGCAGTGCCGTCGGTCTCCGGTCCGTCTACCGTTCGGCAGCGGCGGCCGACCGGACGACAGATCATCAGTTACACCCCTCCCCTCCTATCATCGGTCTCAGGCCCATGGTGAGCAGAGTGGTTACGGCGAGCAGGCGAGCGCCGCGACCAACACAGGGCACACCACGGCGTCAGGCACACCGGGGAGGTGTATGGATAGCGATATTATAAATAAACTAATGCCGCGCTCTGCCGACAAAAGTTGACTGGTTCGTTAGTAGTTCCCGGCCAGCGGAGCTCTTGCCAAGTCATTATAGAACGCCCAGCGTCACGTTTGGCAGATGGAAGGTTCCGAAAACAATGTCGCCCGGGCTTAACCACCATCCACTTACTGAAATACGATGAAATAGCTATCTCCGCGACGAAATTACAGACAGAGTTTCTTGCCGTCAACAAAACAGATCCAATTCTGCGGGCGATTACATTGAAATAGGCTGGCTGGGAAGAATCTCCGACGAACCCACTCTCCCTCGTTCTACGAGATCGGTCTGCGAGCGTTCTGCGGCTAACGAACGCGTCTGGCGCGTGGAGCTCTACCAGACAGCTGATGACTGTGAGAACCAGCCATCGGTCGGACGGGAGGCGATGAACGGCCGCCACTCACCCCGGGAGGGCATGGCCGAGACACCGAGACCCACAGTAACGGCAGCTGATCCCAGCGGAGGGCTCCGGTTACTGAGAACTCACACTCACAGATGGAAGAGTGTATCTCACTAGCTCCAGCCTCCAGCAGTTCATTTGTTCATTTGCCTCACAGTGGTTTCGAACATGAATCTATGATGATTAATGGTGTTATGGGAACAACATAACGCTCTCTTGTAGGTAAAACTGCACGGCAAATGAGCATCGCTAGTAGCGAAAAATGTACTCACTGAGGCGGCCGAAGCTGGAGCTGATCCGTCGTTTCATTTTCTGCACTTTGCTCATTTGGTTGGGCTTCTTCTCTCTCATCATAACACCTGAAACAGTGACCACTGGTCAGAGGTGGAAATATGATATTGTTTCTTTATTGGAGCTGTAAGGTGCACTGACTACAAAGGTAATTTTGCACTCATGTGAAATTTGGAAACATGACAGTGAAAATTGATCCAGTAGGGTAGATATGAATGATACGAAAACCTGTTATGATGGTGCTACACACTACTTCCCTGCATGTTTGAAACTTTTAATAAAAATAAAAACAGACTTCATACATATGTTCACAGACTTCACAGATGTATGCGTCAGGATTTGGCTAAATGATTAGGAGCATCCATTCCAGAAAACAAGAATAACCTCAATTCAAATGATCCATTCAGAACAATTTTATCAAAATAATTATGGGTCATAACTCATAGCAAAATTTACCACATCTACATATACTGAACTTGATAAATGTATGGCATTTACAAGAAACTCACCTTCCTTTGACAATCCAGCTGATGGGAGACTATCCATCTTTGGATTTGAGTTGTATGTATTGTTCATCTTTACTTGCAGCCTATAAGATTCAGTTTTGGTGACAGATCTACACAATTCAATAGGTACTCAAAGTCAAGTGAGATTTCATCCAGATTGGAGATTGCTGACCTGAAAAAGCAGCAAGACCATTTAGAAATTGCAGCTAACACCACCATTGCCTGAACCATCCGAAGTTTTAATTTCATTGCAAATGCAAGCTGACTCAGCTGAGGCTGCAAAAAGTAAAGTGAGAAAGGTTTAAATTCTGCTCATATAAAAGGTTAGTGTGCTCATTGACTATTAACTTGAATTTATGTATCTCTTAACAACAAGAACACAATAACAATTGACTGATGAAAAAAATAAAGAAAATTTGGGCAAATAATTTCAGCAGCATGCCTAACTAACATTTCATTCAACAGGATATCAAAATTATCAATATCACTTCTTCAAACTTTCAATGAGCTGGAATCTAGCTGAATGTCCACATTTCTACTAAGATGTAAGCAAGGCTAGAAATGTAGTATCAAAAGACCCATCAGCCCACAAGGCCAAGCATTATCATAGCCACTTCACGCAGAGGAGCAACGTCAGACATTTTTCAGGGAAACTAGAACTGAGAATATCTTGAACTTCACCCAGTTATGACTTGAAAATGACATACATACTTTACCTATAATGTTGTTATAATGCTTAACTATGCTCTTGCTAGGCTACAGATGAAATTTGAAAAATCCCCTGATTCCGAAATGGAAATGGTCTCTTGTTAAAACGAATCCAAATTATGAGAAGACTGAATTAAAAAAAATGTGCACTTCAATCTACATGGCTTACATTGCTTACAAAATTAATTAGGTAACCATTCATAACAACGGTCAGTTGAGCTGAAATCCGAAGATGAAACACTGGTTCTAGGCTGATTTCAACGATCAAGTCGCGATTTTATACGACAGTGCTTACCTCCAGCGACAGTGGCAATTATTCCATTGTCATGTATGACTTGTCAGTTACAATAATGGCTAAATCCCACAAAATATCCACCGACCACCACCACCCCAACTCAACACCACGACGCGCCACCCTCGCGTTTTCTCGGCGCATTGGAAACTTCCGAAAGGTTTCTTGTTTTCGCGCAAGTTGAGAGAAATTATCACGCTATACTGCTGCCAGAAAGTAACACAAGGTTTGCTGTCAATAGTTAAAACACTATCCTTTAGAATTGTGTTTTTAAATTGAAAAACAAATCTGAGTTCCCTGACAGTTTGGCAAAAGCTGCTGAAATCACTACAACTTGTAATCAGACTTGCTGGTATATAGGGCCTTGGACTTGCCACATGCGATCGATGGCTTATGTCCGTCACATGTCCGTGTGGAACTCAGTTGGCAGCAGTTTAATACTCTGCGGTACAGTATAACTTCAGGCGTAACTACTAGCGACATCTATTGGATGGGAATTGAAATCAGCATGAGAGCTATGCGGTGCAGTATCACTTCAGGCGTAACTACTAGCGACATCTATTGACAAATGCGGAAAGGAGCAGAAGAAATCGTCACCGCGGAAAATCACACTGCCTCTATTCAACGAAGGAAAAGCACATGAAAGGGTGTGATAGTGACTTAGCAACTGTGCTTGATGGAGGTGAAGTAAAACGCCTGTATGAAGATGAATGTGCAACGTTTAGCAGCGCGACCTGTTACGTGTCGGTACCTATATCTATCTACTTCAAAAGCCCAGCGAGGAAGACATGAGTTAGACTGGTGAGTGGATGGTTGTGAAGTTCGGTTGGCCGTCTGAACCACTTAGCTAGGCGCTTCCAAAGCGTCTTTTATTGGCTTGGAAACGTCTTTTCCTGTAGGATCTTCGATCTGACCTTTAGCTTTGGATTAATATGGCAATGGTATTGCTCACAATCAGGTATGTATATTCAATTGTTTCACATTGTCATGTTCACGAATCCGGACACACACTCACAATGACCGTGTTTTGCTATGGACCCATAAAGAATGTTTCCAAAAATGCATCAGTCGATAGCCATTGCTTCACTTCTGCTATCCAGTCCCGCTACCTATTCCAATCACAATCAACCATTAGGCCATCTGACAGAGCCCAGACATGCATATCCAATCCGAACATGTCACCTGTTCCACGCGCTTCACCCCACGTCTACTGCCGCATTATTGGCTGTCATCTCTAACTGAGCCCACTGGTCGTAAGGGTCCACCTATCCCCCCCCCCCCCGATGTCCTCTCTACACCACCTCCGGCTCCCTTATAAATGGTTCAACTGGCCAGTGTTTGCTATGATTTTTCCTCTCCATCAAAACGCTCCCTTCTCCTCACATGTGACTCTACACCAGCCGCTCACTCGGACTCGGGTCTCACTCCCCACACTGCTCGCAGCTCCCTCACACGTGACTCGACTGGCTTCTAGTAGCTCCGTATCCTCTCCATATTAGTCCCGCTCCCCTCACATATGACTCGACTGTCCACCATCCTCAGACAGTCCTCTGTGACGCTCCTGGCGACGCTGCTGCTCCAGGGTTGGCAGGTCGCGCGAGTCCCGACTGCGTCGTCTCCGACTGACCAGGAAGGCGACCAATAGTACCAGAAGGATGAACACCAGCAGCGCGCCGCCGATCACCAGGCCGAGGCTGGTCGAGCTGAGCACCGGGCCGTAGGCTGGAGGGTGTAGAGGAATGGATTAGACGGTTTACGATTATATTTAGTCGGACGGTAACTATTACCGTTTGTCCTGCCTCGCAATTACATCTTTTGTTTCGTATAGTCTCGTTTTATTTCAGCCTCCATTCCATCTTCCCTCATAATTTTATCCATCCCGTCCTAAGCCTCCTCTCCTTTATTTCCTTCTCAATTCTAGTTTTGTCTCCCTCCCTTCTTCCATTTTTCTCTCTCTCTTTCTCCTCCCCCTCTCTCTCTCTCTCCCTCTCCCTCCAACTCACAGACGTTGCCGAGGTCGACGGCGCAGGTGCCGATGTTCCCCAGCCGGTCGACAGCCGTGATGTTAGCCTTGGGATGGCAGCAGGAGGCGCGGTACCGACCCCTCAGGCGCGGACTGCCCGCGGCGAACTGGCCGGCGGTCAGCTGACCGACCTCGCTGGGAAACACATGCACCTCCTGCAGGCCTGTGAGCAAAGATCAAACGGGATGCGTAATTACTAGTATAACATTTAGGTACTAGTTGCTACCCAAATACAAGTTTCCTTGATATTTGATTGGCCAGAGCGATTTGATGGAATAAACCACACATTTCTAGAAAGATCGGCAATAACGATCGCGATTCAATGTTAAACGGCACTGGATGACCATTTCACATGTTATTCGTTAGTGCATTCTACCCGTTGGCAGCAGTTAAATACGCTGCGGTACAGTATAATTTCAGGCGTAACTACTAGCGACATCTATTGGATGGGATTAGAATTCAGCATAAGCCATGCGGTACAGCAGACATTCAGGCGCAACCACTAGCAGCAGATATTGACGGATGCGGAAATTAGAAGAGAAATGTCGTCACTTAGTGGAAAATCTCGCTTCGTCTATCCAACGAGGAAACGTCAGATGAAGTAAAATCACTAGAATGTCTATCAAAGACCTTGAAGCAATAAATAAAGTCATGAGGACCAGTGAATGCTGTCAAACATTGAATTAGCCCCGCTTGAAACCTGCCTGATCCTGTGTCGGAGACCTCGAAGTCCACGGTCCAGAACCGGTCGTCGCAGTCGTCCTCGGAGAGATAGTCGCCGCAGTCTACGTCGGCTCCCGGCAGGACTGTGCACGTCGGGGCCGAGACATCCTCCTCCTGCAACGACGATACACAGCGTGATGGATGACAGCTTCGAGTCATTAGCAATGATGGGTATGATGAATGCTATATGAACAGAAATGATTGTATAATATTCTAACGGAATTTTAACTCGGTCGTTGTGCTGCTACTTAGCATTTGATTTTCATTGGGCTACTGTCAATTGATGGGTGATATGCATGTAAACTGAAAAGGTAATGAAAAACCACGTCTTTCATCATTTTCTTGGTAATCACCTGAGCCAGCACGGTGACGGTCTGGTGGGCGGCAGCGCCGTCCTCCCTGTTCTCCGTCAGGGCCGAGACGAGGACGGTGGCCGAGTCCCCGGCACGAGCTGAGGGCGGCACGTAGTAGCGTAGGGTCACCGTGCGACTCTGACGCGGTGCGAGAGTCACAGTGAGCTGACTCAGCGACTGGAAGTAGCTGGAAACGGAAAGGGTGAAGCGTTGAGCATCCCTATATGATACGATGAATGGTGTATGTCTTAGCCTGTTCTTATCTTATCAATTGACATTGCATTAATGAAAAGCCGCCTACCAGCGGATTTAATGTGAATACACGAACTGAGCTGAACTGAACCCTGCGATGCAAATGTGCATCGCAAATGCGATGCATTTACGAAGAGCAAATGTTATACCTAATTTTGATAACGGTAAAAGCGGTAGTGCGGTTTGGAAACCCGTTCCCCTAAAGATCAAAACGAAGCGACAATCGAAACGGAAAGAAACATAAAAGAGATAATGTACAAATTAGTTGACGTCCTCGAGCGTCTTTACATCATATTAGTCAAAACGTCATGCTGTAAGCCACATAATTGATAAAAGAAAACGATCTAAGTAATATATATGGTGTCACTGACCCCAGGTCGTCCGTAGCCTGCAGGCTGAAGGTGTGTTGATAGCGTCCCTCGTTGGTGACCTGGAACTGTAGGTCGCCGCTCTGACCGGAACGGGCCGGACTGGCCTCGGGTCTGACCGGCTCCACACGGACAGAGGACAGGGTGGTCCTCAGCGGGGCCTCCCGTACCCACCGGCTGCCGTCCCGAGCGGTGCCGATTACCTGGCGGGGTCAAATACAGATCGATGATGACATTGAGCTTGGGTGCTTACTACGGACATCTCTGTCTATGGGTGGATTGTCATACAGTGCAAATAACCTTCTATATCTAGCAATTAATGTTAAAACGTATGATGGGAATGACATTATAAACGTAGCTAATGCCTAGATACTGGAGAGAAATACGAAGCTATATAGCAATACGAAGCCTTAATCAACGTTTATCATATGCGTTTGCATCTAATTAGAAGACACGTTCGCTCTCTGAGCTTGCGGTGCTGTCGACTACTTTTATTATGTGTTCAAGACTATGCCGGTCATACCGTCATGCGTTCGCTCTTACCCGTATATTTGCCGGCCGGGCGATGAATCGCGGCTCCAGCGGCAGGTAGGCGTCCCAGAGGGGACCCGTGTCGTACCGGAGCTGACCCACCACCTTCCCGGTCAGGTCAGTCACCAGGACCTCATCAACAGAGCGGAACGGCTGCTCGTCTGTGCTGATAAGCTGCAGCAGCAGGTGCGGCAGCGGTCCGCCTTCTGTGGAGGTGACGGGGTACATACGGGTGAGCGCCTCAGCCGTGACTCGTGAGAACTTGTGATAAGGCGGGAGAGGTATTTAGTGTGCCACTGTGATAAGACGTGCTAATGACAAGCATTTTGGGCTAATTAAAACGGTAATGGAAGTAATTTTCCATCTATCTTTTTTAATGATAGATAATAGATGTCATTTCACACGTCTGGTTGCAGAGTGGTTCTCGTAGGCCGTTGCTCAATGTTACATAACACGTATTTGAGGTTGTTGATCGGTTTATATCCTGCTGTGGAGTGAAGCATTCGGCAGATCATGGGTCACTGGAGAGCAATTTGTGCCCTCTTGTCTGAACTGCAGACGTGAAAACAAAACGATGTTCCCATTCCTAAACCCATTTTTTTAAGTGCTTGCACAATAAAAAAATGATGCGAGGTAACATTTAAAGCCCATAGAGAACAGACAGTGCGAATATCAAAGTAAGGTTCTGATTGCAATGGTTGTCATCCCACGCTCCTTATCAACTCACGCGCTCCTGTGACCAGTTTTCCGCGCACCACCTGCATTCCCGGGTGGGTGACCCCCTGGTCGGCCAGATACACGACCGAACACCGGATGTCCAGGTTGGTGATGGCCCTGCAGAGAGGTCACAGATACCGGGTCAGGGCGGAGACCGGGAGGAGCAGGCCAAATGGACCGGACACTGATGGGAGGCGGGGTTACTCGAGCGAGAGTATCAACCAGGCGACGGGCGAAATTTAGAGGCAGTCGGAGAGATCGAACTCGCTGAGGCAAAAGAAGTAAAGATAGAAGCGATATTTAATTAATCGGGACTCAGAACTCAAAACGTCCATTTGATATATTAATTCTATTTAACATTGCATCTCCATCTGTATCAGTCTGTCTGTCAGTCACTCCTCTCTCTCTCTCTCTCTCTCTCTCTCTCTCTCTCTCTCTCTCTCTCTCTCTCTCTCTCTCTCTCTCTCTCTCTCTCTCTCTCTCTCTCTCTCTCTCTCTCTCTCTCTCTCTCTCTCCCTCTCTCTCTCTCCCTCTCTCCCTCTCTCTCTCTCTCTCTCTCTCTCTCTCTCTCTCTCTCTCTCTCTCTCTCTCTCTCTCTCTCTCTCACACGCTCCCCCTATCTCACCTGACTGCCACATTAGCCGGGTAGTAAAAGTCCGGACTGGTCAGATCCAGCCTCCAGTCTCCCCCCACCGGATCGTCCAACTGAAGGACGGTGACGCTGGACGAGCTCACTGCCGTCCTGACTCTCCGCGCGTCCGGCCGAGCGTCATCGTCCACCTGTGGTGACCTGAGGTCGAATCGCCGGCCCCGCGGGGACACCAGCTGACCCGAGGTCACCGACCCGGTCACCGTGACCTCCAGCTGGGACACGGTCTGGTCGATGCCGAAAGTGGAGCTGAATGACGGAAAGCCGATGTCGTACCGGTTGAAAATTGTGGACTGAAACAAAGTAAACGGGTCAAATACGTGAAAAGGAAGCAAGTTTGAAAATTGCATTGGCAATGATGTGTATGTAAACGGGAAACGCAAGGGCTTTTGATGGCTGCTCGATTCAAAACGTAAATCGTTTAGCGTACATATGATGCTTCATAGCGATACTTTTACAAGCGTACAGGGGTCTCAACTAAAATAAGCATTAGTTTGCTGTTGCACACGATGACTGTGCGTCATAATACATAAGTGACGTGCGTCTACCTTTGAGTTGTTGGCGGCCAGGTCCAAAATCTGCAGTGCCTCGGCCACCTGATTCGCCCCAACCTCGAGCAACAATCCGCCGGTCGCCTTCGAAACATTCTTGTACACCTCTATGGGGTACAGCTGTGCCTCATACCGCCCTCGCTGTTGCGGCGTCAGACCGTCGGCAGGTGCGGAGATGGGCTCCGGGCCGGTCAGGGGACCGATCTGCGCTGGACCGACAGCCGTTCCGAACGGACCCCTACCGGCGGCGGAGGCGCCGAACACACCCCGGGCGCTGCTGATGAGAATCAGGTTCACCTGGAGGAGAGACGGGGAGGTTGGGTGGCCAGGGAATGGAAGAGGTGTTACAGGAAAAGCTTCAGAGGTACATACATACCTAGGCTAGCTACCCTTATCTAGCTCTCCCCGTGTCCCGATTCAAGCTAACCCTGCACGGACCTCTTCCCTACCCCAGCGTCCTCTGTCCCGACCTCAGCACCCTCTGTCCCGACCTCAGCACCCTCTGTCCCGACCTGAGCTCCCGCTATCCCGATCCTAGCGCCACGTCACGGACCCTGGCCACGAATTCGGTCACCAGCTCCTCAATGGACCCTGTCCCAACCTCAGCACCCCTGCGCCGACCCCAGCGCCCCCTGCACGGACCCTGGCCGCGGCGTCGGCCGCCAGTTGCAGCAGGTGTAGGTGAAAGGCGGTGTCGGTGGGAGCCCGGTCCGTCAGCAGGTAGATGTCGCTCCCGGCAGGCGCAGTGTCCACGGCAGAGAGCAGAGCAGAGACTCCCAGCCGGCGACTGTCACCCGGCACCAGGGGCAGAGAGTCGAGCTGGCTCTGGAACTCTGCAACGCTGGCAGTGACCTGCACCGGACCCACGCCTGGCAGAGACAGGGACAGACTGTCAGCGGAAGGGGCAGACTGTCAGCGGGAGGGACAGAACGGGAGGGACAGACTGTCAGCGGAAGTTGCAGACTGTCAGCGGGAGGAGTAGACTGTCACCGGGTGCTGTCAGTGGAAGTATGTGCGGTCGAGCGAAGCATGATCTGCTGGTCTGACCGATACCATCGACTCTGTCCTTATGAGGGGCCACTTCATCAAGATAATCCGCATGCTGAGAGGGAACACTCAACGCTCAGATACCAAGTCATGGGAGGTGAAGCTACACTCTGCCAATCCTTTCCCCAGCCAATCCCTGACATCATTTAGCGACATCTAGCGATACTAACCGGCACCGCTGAACGGAACGAGCACGAAGCAGCCGGGCCGGAGCCGGGGCTCGAGCTGCGCCAGCCGCGCCGTGCGCTGGCGCAGCGCCGCCACAGTCAGCTCCATCGACTGAGAGGTGTCCAGCACCAGCACCAGGCACTGGCGGGGTGAGAGGCGCAGCAACCAGTCGGCCCGCTGCTCACCGGTGGCGGCCAGGACGGCGGAGATGTACCGCTCTGAGGCCTGTAACGGGGAATAGGGAGGGAGGTCATATGACTGAGTGCTCACCTAGCACTGCAGATATGTACCGCTCTGCCGCCTGTAGTGGGGAGGGGAGAGGGGAGAAGTCAGATGGTTACTCTCGGGGAAAAACCACCACTAACGAATAACGATAACAATAGGGCCAGACTTATGATGATAGTAAGAACAATACACCTTTTTGCACTCAAAATAGGCATCTTTTCATTCAATTTCGGCGAATTGCATTCAATTTTAGCGATCTCTCATTTGCTTCGAATAGAGAGATCGCTAAAATTGAATGCAATTCGCCGAAATTGAATGAAAAGATGCCTATTTTGAGTGCAAAAAGGTGTAGTAGGAAATAGGGTTCAAATCGAAAATTTTAAATTAATTATACGACTTCTTGAATCAAATAATTCAAAGATAGAGTCTGTATACCGAGGTCTATAAATTATTGAGTTCACATTTTTATCTTCATCACCTAACGCATTTATGTCATTTCCAGTGCACGTGCTTCTGGACGTAAAGCATTTAGCACGTCTTTCAAGCCAGACTTCTTTCGGTTGGGGCATTGATGTCCACAACAACTAAAACCGTTTATGCCCAAACGGTGTCACCTGAACAGCAAACTCTGCCGCCCGGCTGTGTGAGTAGTGATGCGGCGAGAAGCAGGGAGCCATCGAGTCCTTGCTGATGCCTCCGACGGCGGGCAGTGCTCGGCTCCGGTCCGTCACTCCGCCATGACTGCACTTGCCTGAGTGTCACAAGGGTCGACCAATTAGCCGTCGACCCAGTCGAGGTCATCTGAGAGGGGGCCGAGACTGTTTGCCAAAAGTAATGTTGGAATAACGGTGGGATAAGAAAACGTAATGCTCGTATGCCTATTTTGTTTTGTTTAATTGCGCATATAAGTACCTACCTATCTATTAATTCTGCTCTTGTCAATATTCTACTGTTTTATTTAGACAGCACTGACACGTGTCAAATAAATTACATTTATACCCATTTCGCAATTACCACATCCTATCGGCCTTACCGTGACCATAACCATACTGCATGCCCGTTCCCGTGCCGTACCGCTGTTGGCCGGTTTGCTGACGGTGACACCGCTGATATACTGCCCCGAGAGGTACCCAGACGTCAGTCGACCTTGACGCAGCACGTTATTGTAGCACGAGCCGTCGGCAGAGTCACAGTCGGAGCATACCGAGTCTCCCGGACCGGCAACGGCGCCCACCTCCTGGCCCGGCATTCCTGGCGGGAACAACGACGTAAGGCTCTAACAACAGGAGAATTACTAACTACAGCAGAATTATGATATAGCCATCGAGGGCACCTAACATTGCTCGGCTGGTGAGGTTTGGTCGGTTTCCGTTTAGGTTTTAGCCTCCTGAGGACGGGTTCAAATAGCTCGATTAGAAAATATCGAAATTGCGGTTGCTATAATCGCTTCGAGAAGTCTTAAAGCTTCCAAAGAGTCAAGCCAGTTATATAGAAGCCAGTTATAGCCAGTTATATATAGTCTGAGTTGGCTCACTTTCCCCATGTTTTTCGTGTAAACATTAATATGATTTTCATCGTATTCGCGGCCACGCCAAAGTCACTTACCGAGCGCATAGTTGATCTCGTTCTTCTCCAGGTCGATCCAGCTGGAGTGGCTGTAGAAGTCCTGGATGGCGGCCAGCTGGAGGGCCAGCAGACGCAGCGCGCTGCCGGCCCGGCCGCCGGCCACCAGTGACGTCACCAGCTGCTGATGACGCACCTGGAGCAGCTTCTGTGCCTCCGCCAGCCGCTCGGCGTCGAAATGGTACCTGATAGCGAACAGTGGAGGCGTCGGTATTGAAGTAACTGATTTGAACTTCCTGTGAACCTGAGCGTGCAAATAACGATCCGGAACTTGCGAGATCATACGAGAACGCACCCTTCCGGATTGAACACTAGCGTTTCCAGGCTCAATGCCTTGGCATCGCATTCTTAGTGTTCAATAATGTGTAATGATATGACCTATAGTTTTTTTGTTGTTACACAGCACGCCAAGAATACACACAACATATTTCTAACATGCCTTTTTGTCGCGATTCGTACTGGTACTAAAACTTCGATTCCTACCTAACCAGTATAACGCCTTATGGGGCGACTAACGGAGCGAGCGAGAGGGTGGGCCTTGCACGTGCGAAATTGCGAGGGGGTACCTCCAACTGACTTGTGCACGGCACCCTACTAACCGGTCTCTAGCGATGTGCCAAATTTGGGCACAATCGGCCCAGCCGTTCTCGAGATCTGGAAGCGGCACCCTGCACGTGCGCACGTGCAAAATGGGTCCCAACTGACTTGTGCACGGCACCCTACTAACCGGTCCCAAACTGTGTACCAAATTTGAGCGCAATCGGTCGAGCCGTTCTCGAGATCTGGAAACGACCCCTGCACGTGCGCACGTGCAGCAGCACCCCAACTCTGGCACATGGATATGCAGTGCCTAGTGGGTGCCTACCTACATGCCAACTTTGAGCGCAATCGGCCAAGTAGTTACCGAGATATTGCAACAATTAGGAAAGTGACACCTCTTCGTTTTGCACGTGGCACGTGCATAAGGGGTCACCCACATGCATCGGGAATAGTCCAATACTTGGTAGAAGGAATGAAGCTACCCTACAAAAATTACCGCATGTAAATCGGTCAAGTGGTTGCTGAGATGTAAGCCTCGCAAAAGCGTCCGCACGGCCGGCCGGCCGGCCGCTCATACTCAGAAATTTCCGTTAAGGCGGCCGCACACTGGGCCATTCGGCGGGCGAGATTCCGCAAAAGCGGAATGTCGCGGGCGACATTCCTACAGCGGCTTTCCGCTTGTTTTCAGCAGTTTACAGGACCATTCGGCGGTGCAATTTTCTACTTAGTATTTTCAGGAACTTTATGTGAAACATTTTATGACCAGTATAACGCCTTTTGGGGCGACTAACGGAGCGAGCGAGAGGGTGGGCCTTGCACGTGCGAAATTTCGAGGGGGTACCTCCAACTGACTTGTGCACTGCACCCTACTAACCGGTCTCTAGCGATGTGCCAAATTTGAGCACAATCGGCTCAGCCGTTATCGAGATCTGGAAGCGGCGTCCTGCACGTGCGCACGTGCAACATGGGTCCCAACTGACTTTTGCACGGCACCCTACTAACCGGTCCCTAACCGCGTACCAAATTTGAGCGCAATCGGCCCAGCCGTTCTCGAGATCTGGAATCGACCCCTGCACGTGCGCACGTGCAGCAGCACCCCGACTCTGGCACATGGATATGCAGTGCCTAGTGGGTGCCTACCTACATGCCAACTTTCAGCGCAATCGGCCAAGTAGTTACCGAGATATTGCAACAATTAGGAAAGTGACACCTCTTCGTTTTGCACGTGGCACGTGCATAAGGGGTCACCCACATGCATCGGGAATAGTCCAATACTTGGTAGAAGGAATGAAGCTACCCTACAAAAATTACCGCATCTAAATCGGTCAAGTGGTTGCTGAGATATAAGCCTCGCAAAAGCGTCCGCACGGCCGGCCGGCCGGCCGGCCGCTCATACTCAGAAATTTCCGTTAATCTAAGGAAAGACTCCGCTCGCTTCGCTCGCTCCGTAAAAATTCGTTGGGAAGCATGATGTGCCGCAATGCATCTAAGTGCTACTGTTCTAATCAAGCGATGCAGTCTCCAAGATAAGCTCCGATGAAGCAATCATCGGCAAATGAACTGATTGCTGTGATATGGCTGACTGTTGGGACTATTGCTGTGACTGGAAACACATTACCACATTAGGACGCATTTTGTCGGTGCCGATAAGATAACGTGTGAGGCGGATGAGATAATTGTGTTTTTTCAGATGTCCAGTGATAAAACATTATCTTCTTCGCTGATTCCAGCTGCAAAGGACTAGACGGATCCCAAGGTAATGCACAAGACGGAGAGGGCAAACAGCTATGATCGCTGGTTTCTTTATTTCCTCATAAGCCCAGCCCTAACCCTAGCGTCGATGTCCTGGAATGATGCTGTGCCGCAATGCACCCCAGTGCTATTGTTCTACCCGAGCGATGCAGTCTCCATGGATAAATGGCTACGAACGGGTGAAGCAATCGGCGGCAAATGATCGTATAACTGATTGCCGCGATTAAAGGCACATAATCGCATAGGATGAACTTTCTTGGTGCTGGTGAGATAAGGCGTACGGGAAAACTTCCAGAAGCTCAAATAGCAATTCACATGGGTACTCACAGCTTAGGTAGATGAAAATGACAACCACCAGAAGCCAAAGTCAGAGACGATTAAGCAAAGCAATGTGAATCGTGTTAACGAATTATAGCATATTGACCGTAATCGAGCCTGGACTGTGATTTTTTGCTTTGCTGTCCTTCGTCTCACTTTAGATATATTTTTGTTGACCGCTTTTACGACGGGTATCGGGCACACATTTGATTCACATCTGGTGCAGATTTGATTCAGATTTGGTCAAATTACGTTTATTGTGTTTCTTAGTAGCTATTAGCTAGGGCCGACTAGTTTCTCATATGACTAGCGTTTCAAATTATCAGACGTTATTTTCGATTGAAACGCTGAAAAATCATGATATGAAGATATTTTTTGAAAAAGATTTATTGCAGATTTGGTCAAGTTTGATGCAGTCACCAGAGGACCCATCGTGAAAACAGCTATTATCAATTTTCTTCCCTCTCTCTCTCTATTTCTCCATTCCACGTTCTCTTTGACTTTTCCTCTATCTTTATCTGGCCCTTCTCTGTTCCTATAATACTCGCTTTCTGTCCCTCTCTGAGCTCTCCCTTCCTTTCTCTCTCTTTCTCTCTCTCTCTCTCTCTCTCTCTCTCTCTCTCTCTCTCTCTCTCTCTCTCTCTCTCTCTCTCTCTCTCTCTATATCTCTCTCTCTCTCTCTCTCTCTGTCTCCCTCTGCACTGACCTGGGGTCGACTCCGGCCGGCCCGCTGTCCACCCGGGCCACCTCGTCCGCAAGCTGCTGAGCCACCATCGCAAACGCGATGCCGGCTCCGGTCGCGTTGAAGCCGTGGAACTTGATGAACACGTTGGCTACAGTGTCTAGCTCGTCAGGCCCGTAGTTGACGCGCCTGTCATTGGCCAGAGCTCGGAAGCGTCGCACTGCGGCTCGTTTTACGGCCTCCTCTGTGATGTTGCGATGGGTCCAGGTGAGATCGACTGCTGCACGCAGAAGACACTGCAGACGCTCTGTGCCGGCCAGACTGGGCGGAATGGGACTCGGCAGAAATGATTGGGTGATGGGTGCCAGCGCTAGCAGTGCCAGCAGAGCGCTGAACAGTCTGGCCATGTCTCCACTTAGAGAGAATCACTAAGCTGACGGTGTGATCGACTCGCGACTCTGATCGACACTGCGCACGATAGGTGGCCGCTAGACCTCAGCACCTCCTCAGCAGCTCCTACACATCAGCCACACTGACGCCATTACCTTCAAACTCCCCCAGTCACTGCGTCTCCTGGTTGGTGCTTTGCTAATCGCTGGTTATCGCTGCGGGGCGGGCCAAGGCAGTCCCAGCCGCGGCGACCCGCGTTCTGGCACCGGATGGGCTCTGGGCGGCGCCCGGGATGTTTGAACAGGAAGTTACGCCAGTGCGTAAAGCACTCCGCGCCGCAGGTGATTCGTCTGATCAGCCCCCGCGCGCGCCCACTATCAGAACGGTTCCGGCCCGAACGGAAGGTGCGCGCGATACAGACGGACCGCGCGTGGCCTTATTGGGCGCGAGGACGGCGAATGTGTGTCATGAGTAACTGTTACGCAGAATGCTGGTGCTATGATTAATTGCTTATACGAGTAGTCTGCTCGAAACGTGACGAGCAGTCTAAGCCTTATATGACCCCCCCCCCCCCCACACGCACACACAGATGCACATATCTGCCTCAACTTGCTCGATTCATTAGTCACGTTTTGTTATTTTAGGTACTATTTGTTAGTAACTTTATTCAAAGGTATCAGTACATCACATTGTTTTAGGTGCCGACGTTTTCTGTCAGTTATATACTAGCTAAATAGTTGAACCACAGCTGTAGCACCAGTAATGCTTTGGCACTTATGACTTATAACCGTTGACCAATGTCTCACCAATCACCGTGCCTTCGACCTTATTTAGTCGTTCTAGGAAAACCCGGCGGCGAATAAATCTCGTCATGAATGAATCGTCTATAGGAAGTACGCGTTATCGCAGAAAATGCGTCACGTCACATCCACCTGGGCCACTCCAGTACCACCAAAACAGCAAATAATACTTCCCATCTGTGACTAATAGTGATTTAGAAGTTATATGCAGCCATGTTCTTTGTTTTATTGTTCGACGTACATAATTAAATCGTTTAACCGAATTACCTAAGTGTACCTAACAGTAGGATTAGATAAATCCTATAAGACTGCTATACAAATTAAAACATTTAACTGGTTGACGTTTTGCCTCGTTAGTTTTCATGTGCATTGTTGACCATTGCTTGTATAAAAATCAACACCGAACGATCATTTCTTATCCGTTAAATAAGTCAAGATTTGCGTCTTTTCTCACTTGCCCCAATTATTGCGAATCTTGGAATTTGAACGTACCTACGAATGAATTGCAGGAGCAAATGCAATGCAACGACTGGCTATTTAAGTTTTAAATTTCAAAAAGACTTAGGTAACGACTTTTTACTATTTTACGCCTACGAATGTTTGAATGGGCGGATTGACAGGGGCGGAGCCCACACAAAACATAGCTTGTTCAATGTTCATTGTTGCTTACGAGTAGGCCCCAACCCCTACCGTCTGAACGGGTAATGTTGGGTTGCGGCCACCTATTGGGCAACTATGTCGGGATAGTCGGGAATAAATTATGTGCGTAGTCAGGAGGCTCATATACATAGGCGTGGCGACTCGACCTAGGGCTCACACCACCGAGACCAGGATGTTTTACCAGCTGAGTTACTGGCAAGCGTATTTAAAGTTAAGTGAGATGTTGTTATTTGTAGCTTTTAAGCCCGTCACATTTTATCTTTCATGGGGGTGGTCGGGGCACAGTTCGGCAATTCCGGGGCAGACCGTTTGCAGTCGGGGCGGACCGGGGCGGGGCGCACGGTACCGGGAGAAAATAATATTAGTCCTAGTCCTGAGTCCTGAGTCCCTATTAGTCCTGAGAGACGTTTTTGTGTGCTTGTGTGTTTTCTCACTGAATAGTTGAGGATGGGTAGGTATGTAGGTAGGTAGTAGGTACCTAATAAGCTCAAAAGGTTAAAAAAATGTTTTCAGTGGTCAATTTCTTTTCCTATCAAAATGCTTGACCCTGACTTATCGTTTATAAGAGAAGTTAACCTCCCCTTTAGGTAGGTACCTAATAGGTAAGCCTAATGGGATGATTTGTTTGTTTGTTTGTTTTGTTGGGTTAGGCCCTTTCGGTCGACAAGACCATTGCAGAGCCGGAAGGATGATAGGAATTAGGGGGAGACATTGGTCTGGGCAGGCACCCTAGTGAGTCGCCGGGGCTGAGCCCGTCCAGAGGACAGGCCACCCAGCCCCAAGGCACTCACTGCACCCGGCTACGGGGTGCGCTCCCTCGGGAGCAGCGGCGCCGCTCCAAGGGAGCAGCCCGCATGATATAAAGTTGCCTGCCCAACCCGGAAGGGGGTTGTGGCGTGGAGGAGAAGGATTTCAGTATCTTGAGGATAGAAGCACGGACAGGTGCTAATGGGATGAGATAGGACTGAGGATAAGATCAGAAGATGACAGAGTAAGATGATTGTGAAGGAAAGATATTGCTTGCTCTTAGCTTACTCGATCACCGACTGGTGCAGCGAAATGGCTGAGTTGAGTCTACCCCGTTGGGAGTGGGACGGTGTTGTTCCTGCAACTTGCAAGACCTGGGACACACGGTTTTGAAGACACAAAACAGCATTGTGGACAACAGACTTTCTTATGGCGACCTCTATAGTCTCATTCATAAAGATAGCTGCGACCTCTGCAGGTTACCAGAAAGGCGTGTCCTGAACTATTGTTTTTAACCTACACTCGAGTGCTATTTTTCTAAAAATCACAGGTACTGCAAAACTCAAGCTTATTTTGAGCGAAACAATTGTAAAACTTTTTTTCTAGAAAAGCTTGAAAGCTATCGCAGCTCATGTTAGTTGTCGTGCATCACATGCTGTACAATTTAGTTGCGGTATCCATGCTTTTTGGGGGAAATGCCGAGTCTCGCGAAGTGCGAGAACACGCGCAGCTTTGCGAGATTTCAGTACTCCGCAAGGGTGAGAGGCGGTGTGCGGTGTGGTTGTGCTGTTATTTCCGTGTTTTATTGAATATTTATGAAAGTTTGCTTTTTGTGAGTGACTGCGTTCACATTTTGGAAAGATCATACAATTTGCATTCTCAAATTTATCTGTTTTACAGAGCCATTTAGAAGACGGGAAAAGGAAGACGTCCTATATGAGGACGCTACCGAAACCCATTTCTAACTTCTGAAATGAGCTATACTGGTGGTAAACAGCAAGCGCCACTCTTACAGCAGCCTGCATATCCAATATATCAGCAAGGATATTCATATGGTAAGACCTTTGAATTATTCTTTTGATGATAGTTTTGGTATGTTTGCTTTGAAGAGTGAGAGTGAATCAGTTTCGGCGTGATTCGGAATCAGCATGGAAGATTCAGATTAGCAGGCCATATTCTTCACTGATGATAGTTGCCTGGGCTGCATTGTCATTTAAGTCTTGAAGTCTTGAAGTCTTGTATATGCTGAAGAAGGCGTACTGCCTGCAACTTCCATTACAGTCGGTGACACACCAGGGAAATAAGCTAAAATTAGAGCGCTCTATTTATTGCTCCCGCTACTTCACCGTCTCCCATAGGGTCCTGTGTTGAGCTGGTGTCGAGGCTCTAAAAATGACGCCGATTTTTGCACCCTTCTCACGAAAACCGCTCGGACCGCCTGGAAACTAATTGTTCCGCTCTACAAATTTCATGATCGACGGGAAAATGAATGAGGAAAAGATTGGTCCTGAAATAATTCTGAACTCCCTGTAGAACATATCGAAATATGGCTGCAAACTAGGAGCATGTCAAAATCGACAAAACAATACAAATAAACTTACCGGGATTTTTTTATTTTCCATGCATCTGTGTATGAAATCAGTCGGTTTTTCGGAAAGATCATCTTCTGTTTAATAAATAATTCCACAATTGCAATCGAGAAAAAAAACATTTCCGCTGTGACAGCAGTTTTGGCATTGTGCCAGTAGTGTGGCGTGCGCGGTGCTGCGTGGTCGTCGGGACGGAGTTGTGAGTATTTTCGGTGTTTTAAATGGTTGATGGCCATTTGAACCAGCTTTATATTATTTCCTACAAATTTTTGCATCAAATTATTGCTTTGAAAGACCATTGAAACCCCTTATCTCTTCATGAAACACGATCATATTCATCGTCGACGAAATGGGCGCGGGACTCCATGTGCATTCCGATCGAAATAAATCGTAAATTAAATAATATTCGATGATAAGAATCATATTCTAGTGACACATTTTCATAAAATAAGGCATAAACTTTCCAAGGAAGTCAAATTTGGATAATTGGATTCTTATTTTGCTCACATATCCTTGTAGTAGTCAAATGGCTCAATTGTAAGATAAATAAGTATATGTTTTGGTTTGATGTTTGCTGTGAAACCACCCAGCCACTTGCTGGTTGAGTGGTTTTCTGATAATTACCTGATAATCATTTCTCCTTTTCCTTAAAAGAAACTAAAATTCCTTTCAAAGTAATCCATTTTTAGGAAAGGCGGCTTGCTCTTTGACATTTCATGTTCTTGTTTTGTTATTGCTGGCAGTATTTTGATACAATAATGCAATATGAATTTTTTGCAATAATAAAACCTAAGACAAACTTAGTTCATGCGTCAATCAAACACCCAACAGAAAGATTGTGAGTCCTTGTGACGTGAAGTAGAATATTCTATGAATGTGTTATATAGAATATGCCAAGTATTAAATTAATTTTTATTTGATACTGATAGCTGAGCATGTGAATTATGCCACAATATAATTTCATTTTCTGGTTTTGAAATAGCCGGCAGTATTTTACTTCAACAAATGTAATATACGTGGAATACATGTTGTTATGTTATGTTAAAAGTTTAATAACAGCCAACAGAAGGGGCTGTTTCAGCAGATAATGTTTGTACCTTATGCATTACCTTTCTTTTCTGCAGGACCATGCTTCCGCTGGGTGGTCGACGTTTGCCTCCTGAAGAAGTTGAGCAACATGAAGACCACCAGATGAGGTGTCTGCAGTTCATGTGGAACTCTGCAGACTACAAGTTATGCCAACCACAACCAAAGTGCTGTGATCATGGAGGCATAAACCTCATGACAACACTTCAGATTTGCAGTTGAACCAAAGTGTGATTCAAACCACCTGTGGCATCTCACTCAATGTGTGAACAGTGTGATTATTGTGCAGTGTTCAGCTGCAACTGAGACATTTATTAGTGACTTGTTTTGCAATTAGCCACCAAAAGCATTTTTTGGGCTGGCTTCTGTAATTTGTTGTGCACTGCGCAATAGTGGTAGTGTTTTGTCACTTGTCAAGTTGTCAGTTGTGCATGTTGCATGTTTCTCTTCCCTCGGCCCTCATTATCAATTAAGTGGTGAATTGGCATCACTCAGTCTCCCCAGACCTCCATTGACTGTCTGTCAACCACCTAACTTGAGATGGTATTTGCTAATAGTGTCAGAAAAGAAGTGATTGTAGACATTTTTAGGAATATGAGCTCCGTTTCATGCGTGTTCCAGTGGTCATTTTGTCACATGTCCCATAGTGTAATAAATGGAAACTGTTGTTCCCTTTTGAAGGTACTCGCGGATGCAGAAAGCGTTGGGCCTAATTATTAAACGCACCCTCCTATCAGGGACGCACGAAATCGACAAATATCATCCTTTTTAGAACAGGAGGAAACGAAAACTTGTGAACATAGCTGTACCTACAACAGTGCATAAGGAATTGAAATTCTGGGAATTTTTGAAATTCGGAGAAACTCAAGTTGTCGACAGGTATGCCCCTTGCACGTCAAAGACCGCCTAAAAAACAAACGTCTACAAATGAAGGCAGTATTCGTATGTTCGTTGTAATTGCAGCAGCCTAGCAACATGCATTGCGGTCCGATGGCGAATTACACTCGTGCCCAAAAACTATGCCGATAACTGCCAATGCACTTAGGTCATAGGTGAGGAGAGGAAGGGTCATGTCATATGTCAACATCATAGAAATGGCTTCATCTGAGCTGTGCCTATTGTACATAATTCAACCGATCTATGCATTTCGTTTCTTGCAATCTACTCATGCTTTCACTCCAGCTTCAGAGTAATCATCCCATATTGTACGTCTTAAGATATTGATTTCTATGGCGGTTTGCAATTGCTAGCCACGTCTCACCTCAGTTTGGTGGCCCCGCATCGGCCCACTCGGCCGCTCTAAAATTGACTTACGGAGGAGGATGGTGGCTTTTATTTTAGCTTCTCCGCTGACTGCGGGGAGCGCCGTCGCCGAGGTAGGAGCAATAATTAGCTTATGTTTGGGACTAATTTCCACGCTTAATTAACATTTTAATGTTATTTTAATTAATTCATGTTAATCTTTGACGCATTCTCTTTCTATTGATACCATCCACCGGTCTGAGAATTACTGCCTTGCTGCGTAAGGGCCGATAAAAGATCACGCTTTTAGGGGTATCCCTTCAACATGGGGCAGGAGCAATAAATAGAGCGCTCTAATTTTAGCTTATTTCCCTGGTATGTCACCAACTGATTACTCCTTACTGATTGAGTGGGCAGAGCTGGGTAAGGATGATCGTGGGATAGTTCAAGGTTATAATGCTTTGTCATCCAGTTCCTCGATTCGGTGGCATTTACTCCAATTGAAGCCTCTCACTCTTCAAAAACTCGTCCACTCTTTTTTTAAACAGCCAAGTTGATTTTGACCTCACAATTTTCTCTGGAAGGCTATTCCATAAGTTACATGCCCGATGTGTGAGGAAAGACCTTCGTACTCGTTTCTTTACACTAACTTTAACAACTTTAACTTTTAACTTTAACTTTAACTTTAACTTTTAACAAATGACAACATTTTTGCTGAGATTTAACCTCTGTAACACCTTAAAGGTTCTATGCTGATGGTTGTTTTGAGTGATTACTAATTGACAGGTTACTTTTTTGTCATGCCCTGCTTCTGATGACACCTGGGCTTCCATCTGCTTTAGTTTGAAATTGTGGGCACCTATGATGACCTATGAAGTCTGGGCACCATTAACTTGCAAATGAGCATCATCTCTGTGGTTAGAACTTACACAAACACAACCATATATGTAGTGTAGCAATAGTCAGTGTGCTGTGTCTTGGTCTAGGAACCTGCAGTTATGCGGTCTAAGTGTAATAAATGTGTCATGTAAACATAGAACCAGTGCTAGATTGTAACTTGAAATAACTGCAATTATAAAGCCACAAACTCAAATGAGAGATTTAAAGGAAATTCTGAAAGTAGGTAGGTAGTGGTACTTAGTGATCCAAATAATATTCAAACCTTACTAAAATCACTACCTAGTACCTAATCTTTTTTGACATGGTCCTTATTGCTGCCTTCAGCCTTGTATGTGTTGAGATTGGCTACTATCATACAATGTGTTGGTGATGACCTTCGAGTGAATAAGGGCCTTCACCTTGGCTAGAGAATACCGCTTGAAGCCAATGCTGAAAAGATAAAATACTAGCATAAAAAAATGTGCTTGGTATTAATCTGTCTGGGAATCAGGATTGATTCTAACCCAACTGATTTCTTAGCCTGAACTGCATGAATTTTATTTGTGTTGTTTTTACTTTCATCAAACAATGCTGATGATTACCAGTGTCATGGAATATTTTCAATCATTTGCAATTTGTCATGACAAGGGAGATACTAGCAACAGGTAATGCACCTTGTCTTCAGGTTTCTTTTGTTACATCCTATGAGTAATAAAAGTTACCTACATAAGATTCACACACAGTGACCTAGAAGCTATATTTGAATCCCGGAACATTAAACTTAACCATAAGCTGTTAGGGGTGAAAGTTTTCTTCCCTACATGATAGGTTATCCAAGTTCATTGGCTCATTTAAAGGGACCCTCCCGGCTCCCACCTTCAAAAAAGTTAATGCATTGGCATGAAAGTGATGTCCCTTGGTTCAGAAAGAGCGAAAACGAATATCTACCAAATTTCACCGAAAAATATTCACTGGTTTTCAAGATATTAGGCTTTTACTTTTGTTTACTTTTTGGGATCTCCCCTGTTACTAGCGACTTTATTTGGAAGCAATAATTTGGCAGCCTTAAAGTGCGGCAGACGTTGCGCGCAAAGCAGCGTATACCACCACGTGTTAACGATGGTTTTAGTCTAAGATTTAAAAATCGTTAGATCTCCGCTGACGTCACAAATTCTAAGGGGGCATTCCAATGCATTAGCCCCTTAGAATCCGAAAACTGCAAGTTTGAAATTCCATATCTTCGAATTAAATCATTTTTC